GAATTTAAGTGTAGTACTTGATTGGAAATGGATAAAGGAAATCATAAATTCTATGCTAAAAGTTTCTTTCCTCGCATATGTAACTCTCTTCTGGCTTGTTGTTTTTAAGCCAATTTTGATCTTCAAGAATTTAAATGCAATGTCAATCGTTAAATTAATTTAAAAATTAAATGCAATGCCCATCATTATCTTCATTATTATCTTCTGTCTTCTTAATTCCTTTTCTTTTATTGTTCTCACCTTAATAATGTTTTTCCCCTCATATTTTCTCACACCCAGTCGTTTTATTGCCTCCTTACCTGGGGCTGAAATGATTTTACATACACTCTGATTTTCAGTAAATATTTTACATTTTCCTTTTCCACATTCTTTTAGCATAATTTTAATGCCCCCCCATATTTATTATAGGATTGTTTATAAAAAAAAAAAAAAAGGTGTCATAGGCTTTTACTTATAATCCATTAACAATTCACTTTAACATTAAAGGACTAATGAACTACGACTTCAAACTCAGATTTTGAGGAAGTAACTCGTAAAAGTACGGAAATCTTATGTAGTATCAGTCCTCCTCTATGGCAATAAATTCTGGACAATCTTCTCACAGATGAAGAAGGACGAAGTTACAGAAATGTGGCTCTACAGAAGGATGCTGAGAATACCATCGACCGAATACGTGAGCAACGAAGTATTAGAGAAAATGGAAGCAAAAAGATACTTAGACTTAAAATCGGGAAGACAGTTTGAAAATTCCAAGGCATATAATGAGGAAAGAGGGCTTGGAGAATTTGATGCTCACATGACAAATTGAAGACAAGAGAGTCAGTGAGGAACAACGCACACACCCTACTTGACGAGCTTGAGCGAATGGATTGTTGAGCAATGTTTGGGAGAGATGGCAAAAAGACAAAGGTTATAAGAGTTACAAAAGACTGAAAACTGTGGGGAGCCACGATCGACAACGTCCTGAGGGGACACGGCACATATAAGAAGAAGAAGAAGAAGAAGAAGAAGAAGAAGAAGAAGAACTCGGACGTAATGTTTTAAGCTATTCCAACCCCACAAGATCCACAGTATTAACTTCTTCGGACGCAGAACATCTTTTGGTTTTGTGATTTTTAAAAACAATATTCTGATATTTGTACGTAAATGTATTAGAAGATGTATGTGCCATTTTGTTCCAATACCTTTTGACAACTTTGAGGAAGCTTCATTATTCCATCCTCCAGAATTTGGTATCTTTCTGGGGGAAGAACTGGTCTAATTGTTTTTCCAGTCTTAGAGAGGATTGAAGTTCTTCCGATTAAAAGAATATAGTAGGGATTGAAATAAGTAGTATTCCAAAGGTGCAATGTCAAGTGAGTATGGCAGGCGTAGTAGAACTTCCCAACCAAGCTTTATCAGGTTCCGCTGGGTCCTCATAGACAGGTGAGGCCTGGCGTTGTCTTGATGGAAGATGAACCCCTTCCGATTGCCCAGTTCCGGACGCTTTTCATTGATTGCTCACTCTCTGATCGGCCCATTTTGAAACAGGATTTGCATTCAACATATGATTTTGTATTTTTTTCGTTATATACAATCCCTTTTCAATACCACCAGATACGTAGCATCAGTTCTTCTAATGCAAATATAGAGAACCATTTATTAACACTACCCTCAGCTACGGCACCATCTCCATAAAATGGCACATATCTTCTTTGCTGCTCGTACATTTTTTCCTTTTAACAAAAAAACCGTTGAATATTCCCAATCAACACAACGTCGTATAGAAAGACACTTTGAGATGTTAGCTTTTATAGGGTGTTTCATTAAGACGGATCAATGTCAGCAGTGAATAAATCAGTGTTATTGGTGAAAATTTATTTATTTCTCTATTGTATCATGTTATTTTAGTCATGGCAATTATGAATGAAAAATAATATCACCCAAATGTCCGCCAAGGCTTCGGCGGCACACCTCCACTCGATGGTCAAAATTTTTGATGACGTCTCTGCATAGTTGCTCCTCGATCTCACCAATATGCCTTATTAACTCATCCTTCAACTGTTGAATTGTTGTTGGCTTTTGAGATGACCCCAAAGGAAGAAATCTAAATGCGTCAAGTCGCCCGATCATGGTGGCCAATTGACTTCGCTGTTTCGAGAGATGATGCGACCTGGGAACTTCTCATTGTATTTTTGTTTGAACGTCCATTTTCGTAATACGCTGTTAGATTGTTAATCTTTCCATTATTGAAATTGCCAAAAACTTAGGTTGTTAAATGTGAAAGAAAAACGAAAAAAAAAATCATTAGACGCTTAAACTTAATTCACATTTATAATCGGTGCAAGTTATTGGAACACTCTTTAGAATATGTAAATAAGACAAATTTTCAGCCATATATGAAACAAAATCACGTGGTCAAATGCCATCTTTTGAAAACCGCCGTTGAGCCTTTTATCTCTAAAAATAACTTCACCTTGAAATCAAGTAACAAACTTTATGGCAAGATGGCGTCTGATGAAAAGAGCTTATTCTTATTGAAACTACAAAGCTTGATGTAATTGTAGCATGCTGAAAAATAAACATGTGGACATTTTGGAAGTGCTGTGCATGCAACATAACGGTTAACAACTTATAAAATGAAATCATCTCTTCTTCTTCCAGGTATAAGCCAAAAAATGGTTTCTTTTTTTCATTGGTAAGACATCCAGTCGAGGAGATACTCAGACCATTTGTGAACATCTATGACGATAATACGACGATAATGGGGGTCCACCTCTAGCAGCTTTGATGATAACAGATTGGCACCTGATCTCTCATCTGATTTAGTAATAACTTCCCAGTGGGTAAGAAACTGGTTGGTTACATTCAAGGCCACGTAAACTAAACTGGTAACATTCCATCATCGCCGATCGAACCCCAGACTACCGCCAGTCATTGACGACCCTGTGAGAGAAAATTGGGCCTTAAACTCACCTCAAGTGGAACTCGTACATACAATCCATTGCAAAAGATGCAGGAAAAACGGTCGATTCTCTGTACTGCTCCAGTAATAAACTGACTCCACATGCTATCCTCTTTCTTTTCAAGAGCCAGATAAGGGCCTAAAATGGAGTACTGTTGTCATATTTAGGTGAAGGCTGCTCAGTTTTCACTTTTCTGTCTAGATAAAGTTCAAAAGTGTCTCTGTGTCCTTATATGTGATAAATTATTTTCCACCTTCTAATCGCTCTCTCGTCGGCGGAATTTGGGAAGTCTCTCACCGCTCTATCGCTGGTTTCATGGAAAGTACTCGGACGAACTACATTCCTTGGTTCCGCCAGTTCTAACTTCCACGGCTATGACCTGTCATGTCACTCATATTGTAGCAAACCTATTACATTACCTCCGTGTTCTCTGTGAGAAGTTCCACTCGAAAAGCTTCCCGCTAACCACTGCTCTGTGAAACCGACTCCCAAGAGGAGGTTTCCCCGATCACTACAATTTTAACATGTTCAAGTCTAGATTTAACCGTTATCTTTCCTATTCGCATAATATAACCCTCTACCTCGAGTGGCCCCGAGCCTTGTTCAAGGTAAGCTTTACTGTAAAATAAGTAAAAAATAGACACATGGCACAGTGAATAAAAGCGTTAGTTAGATCCAGTGACAGGACTCAAAGATTGTGAGTTCAATACCCGCTTAAGGCAGTGGAGAACTTGGAGAAGGGGAATTAACAGGAGATAACTGATAACTGACATCTATTAGACATGGCACGTAGAACTAGAACAGTCTACCCCAGTGAGCAAAATAAAGGGTTCAGTTCGACATTCCAACCACCTGAAGAAAGCCGGAGCGTACAACATCCGAAGCGTTGTAATAAATATGGCGACAAAGACGAGGACAATAGTCCGAATAATGTAAATAGTGTACATAATACCTCATCTCAGAAATATAGACAGATACTGAAGGGCCGAAACTTTGTAATAAATATGGCAACAAAGATGAGGACAATAGTCCGAATAATGTAAATAGTGTACATAATACCTCATCTCAGAAATATAGACAGAGACAAGTTTAAATTTAATAGCGTGGACGAGACACGTAGAGACGATTCTTCTCATTTCCAAAGATCACTGATAGCAACTCACAGATTTTTAAAGAAAGGAAACTGCGGAGAGCCTTGATCACCTACATTCTGAAGGAAGATGTCGTTATTTGAGCACTAAATGATTCGATTAGCAATGGTTATGATACTGGCTTGTTAACCGAAGCTATATGAGTTGGTAGAAATATATATCTCTAAACCGACAGTTACAGCTTTGCTGATTAATCTATGAAAATTGAACGAAGCGGAAGGCCTACTTTATACCGAGAAAGCTATGTATTGCCCACTTGAAGCCAGGGGTCGGTCTTCGAGCTCAGGTAAAAAGAAGGGTTTTTCAATGATGATTTCTATTCAGGTAAACTCTCCCAACTTGGAAGAGAGACACACAATAATCATCCTATTCATGCTTGACTCCACACCGAACTAAACTTGACATATCAAGAGAAGAGAGACAGTGAGACAATCAAGATGGAGATCTTACTTCTTCATCTTTTCTCGGGCATCTGAGGGTGATGAAGCGTGTGAAGAGGGTTTGAGCAGAATGGGGAGAAGGTCGGGCAAATCAAGCACTGGGATAAGGAAAGGCGAGCCGTCCGGAAAGAATTGTAAGATGACTCCATCGAACTGTAGAAGGCTTTGATCTTACCAATAAATGCAACCTCTCCATTCTTTTCGCTTTATCGAACATCGAACGATAGAAGCGAAGGCGCGCGTAGGTGCGAGGTTGTGTGCCGCAAGCCAATGCAGGCAGAAGTCGAAGATGCGTAGAATGAAGTGGGGGGGGGGGGTCAGTGACTGGCAAGTTTTGCACCGAGGGTCATTGGTGTTAAAAGCGGGTTGAAATGTGGCGTGGCAAGTTGGGAAAAGAAAGAAAGAAAAATTTCATTTAAAAGAAAAATGGAAGTCAGAAACGAAGAGGTGCAGAGTAAGTATTCTTAGAAGGAAGGATGGAAGGAATGAGAGAATGAACGAATGAAGGAAGGAAGGAAAGAAAGTTCATTTAACGGAAAGAAAAATGAAGAGGGGAAGATTAAGTTGAAAGAATGAGAGAAGAAAAGAAACAGAAAGTGACAGACTAGCAAGAGAGGAAGAGGCACAGAGTAACTATTAAAGAAAGAAAGAAAGAAAGAAAGAAAGAAAGAAAGAAAGAAAGAAAGAAAGATTAGGGAAAAGAAAGAAAGAAATTAATTAACAGAAAAAAACAAAGATTAGATAGATCAGAAGAGGAATGGAAGTAGTCTTAAAAGAAAGAGAGAAAGAAAGAAAGAAAGAAAGATTAGGGAAAACAAAAAAAAGAAAGAAAGAAGATATCGTTAATTTAACAAAAAAAAGATAAGCAGGAAAGGAAGCGGCACAGACTTTTAAAGAAAGAAAGAAAGATTATAGGAAAGAAAGAAAGAAAGAAAGAAAGATAAGGGTAAAGGAAGAAAGAATGGATGGACGAAAGAAAGAAAAAAGAAAGAAAGAAAATGTTAATTTAATAGAAAGAGACAGGTTAGCAAAGAAGGAAGAGGCACAGGGTAACTATAAATAGAGTAAAGAAAGAAAGAAAAAAGAAAGAAAGAAAAAAGAAAGAAAGAAAGAAGGAAAGAAAGAAAGAAAGAAAGAAAGAAAGGAATGAATGAATGAAGAAAAATGAAAGAAAAGAAAGAAAGAAAGAAGGAAAGGAAGAAATGAAGAAAGAAAAATGAAAGGTTAGGGAAAAGAAAGAAAGAAAGAAAGAAAGAAAGAAAGAAAGAAAGAAAGAAAAAAAAAGAAAGAAAGAAAAGCAAATATGAATGATTAAAGGAGAGGAAATGGAATATGAACATTTGTGAAAGAAACAAAAACACGCAGAATTGAGTGGGGCGCGCGCGGACGCGCGAGAGAGAGAGACAGAGAGAGAGAGAGAGAGATTGGCAACTGATGAGACGTAAAAGAAAATTGAAATTGAGTGTGGCAAAATGAGAAACGTAGTTTGAGTGAGTGGGCTTCCAGAGAAAATCGATTATCAATAATGGAGTATGAAAAAGAAAAAATAGAAAGCTAGGAGCGAGTGAATGAGAGAGAGAAAGAGAAAGAAAGAGTGAAAAGTGAAAGAGAGTGAAAACAAAACTAATGCGAGAGAGTGAGAAAGAGAATGAACGGAGTTAAACAATGAGAGAGGATAAAAGAAAAGGAAGAAAGAAAAAGAGAACGAGAAAAGAATCAAAAGAAAGAAACTCGATGATAAGGCTGATGAGGAAGGGAAAAAGAGAGAGAAGAGAGTGAGGAGAAAATGAAGTGAAAAAAATGAAGTCGATACGGAAAGGGAAAAGGAAGATGAAGAAAAGTGTGCGAGGCGAAAGAAAATGAAGGAATAAGAGAAATGAAATTAGAAAAGAGAGAAAAATGAAGAAAGGAAATTAAAGAAATAAGATGAGAACGGAAAGAAAGATGATGAAAAACAAGGAACGAGGAAGGAGAAGAGAAAGTGATAACGAAAAGAAAGAATGGTTGACGAGAGGAAGAAAAGAAAAAGGGGATGTGGCTGTAAAAAAAGGAAAGATAGGAAAGAGAGAGAAAGAATGTAATAGAGTAGAGAGAAGGGATGAGGAAGAAACAGAAGAGAAATTTGAAAAGGAACAACAAGAGGGAGAAAAGGAAGAGAAGAAAGAACAAAAGAATAGGGGAGAGAAAAATGGAGAAGAAGAAATAGAAGAGTAAGAAGAACACTTAATAAGAAAAGAAGAAAGAAAAAGAAGTAAATCTTCGTCTTTGTTATTCTCAGTATCCTTCTGTAGCACCACATTTCTGGTACTCCACTCGTCTGTTCATCAGTGAAAAAATTGTCCATATAAAAGGAATGATAACACTCTTTTTCGAACTTTTTTTCAGCCCTTGTTTCTCACGAAACTTTCCTCCTTCGATAATTCAATGTGTCCGGATTTCAGTGTCATATTTTCCATCTTCTGTTAAAATACTTCCCTCAGATTTAAATTTCTCTACTTGTTTGATTTTGACATTCCCAATTTGTAGTTTACATCTTGGCCTTTTCTTTTGCTGATGGTAGTAGATAGTCCTTTATTCTTGCTTTCCTTTACGAATGTGAAATATATAATAAATCAAGGCAATATTAGGCAGGCAACAAGAACATCTTTTTTAAGGCTTCAAGTTCTAGGTTCAGGATTGACAATTCTTTTTGGAATGCATCTTATACGAAGTCAATGTGTGTTTGGATTTCGGTGTCACATTTTCCATCCTCTGTTAAAATACTTTCCAGATATTTAAACTCATGTATTTGTTGATGTTGTAGCAGATTAAAAAGAATAAAGACAAAAAACCAGAAAAGGTGATAGAAAGGAAATGTATAGAAAGGTAAAAAGAAAGCTAAAAGTGAAGATGAAGCAAAAGTGAAAAGAAAAGAGAAAAGTAATTGTGAAAGAAGAAGAAAAAGAATTCTTAAATGAAAAAGCCCGAAGAGATGGAAAGAGTTCTGCAAGTCTGAAGCACGGTAACAAAATGTAAAACGAGAATGAATTTAAATGAAAGAAAAAAGAAATTGGAAAAAATGTGAAGGAGAATTGTGAAATAGGTTTTATGAAGTCTGTTTGCTTGTCTTATCAATATATATAATTGTTGTTCTTATTTAATAAAGCCCAGGATAAAAGAGAGAGACCAGAAGATAATCCACTACCATGTATTGGTAGGTTTAGTGTTTACATGTGTGTTTCTATTTATGCTCCAAATAAAAATAGTAATATTAAACAACAACGGAAATAATATATAATTCTCTGTATCCCGAATGAAGGAACGTATTGCATCTCGCAAATTCGTCTCCAAGGATTATTGGCGTTTCTACAAGATCGTACTCAACAATAGCAAACCCTCTATACCTCCTTTGTTCAACCAGTTTGAGGTCCTGACCTCCTCTGCCGACGAGGCTGAATGCTTTCCTCAGAAATTTCCATTCAATTCAATGCTCGTCTCTTCCGGTGTACCCATACCCGATTTCCCTCTTTGAACTGAGGCCCTATTGAGGGGGTTGCATTGGTATCGGGCATTATCTCTAATTTAGACCCCAACAAGGCTAGTGGTGGAGACGGTGGCATTGGTATCGGGCATTATCTCTAATTTAGACCCCAACAAGGCTAGTGGTGGAGACGGTGGCATTGGTATCGGGCATTATCTCTAATTTAGACCCCAACAAGGCTAGTGGTGGAGACGGTTGCATTGGTATCGGGCATTATCTCTAATTTAGACCCCAACAAGGCTAGTGGTGGAGACGGGATACCAGCAATTTATGAATAAAGACAAAAGAAAAAAGATTTTCTTTAGCAACAAGTTTCGTCTCTAGAGATTTTATCAAGGTAAATATAATGATTTTATTTTGCAACGTGTATTTATAAACGGAAGTAAAATAGAAGAAAAATATCAAGTTTTCAAAAATTTTAAATTTCAGACTGTTCTAAAATATTTTTAAAGCTGTGTAAATAAAGGTAAACTATGGAGGAAGATGTAATTTAATGCCAAATAACCGATGTTGTTATTGTTGTTGTTGAAAGTTTTATTTTTTTTTGTTTATATATATTTATTTTTTAATGTAATTATTATTTTATGATAATTTGATAAATTATTATTATTTTATGATAATTTGATAAATTATTTATGCATTCGTTTATGTTAAATATTTGAAGAATTTTAGTTAACCGTTTTCTTTCAATTTAAAAAAAAATGTTGTCATGTATGTTGGCTTGGGAAAGAAGTATTTCCTTAAAGAAAGGAGATATTTGAAACAACCTAGGGCGTAAGTTAACATATTGACAAGAATCGATAGTTCCATTCTCACGAAACTTGCGTCTAAGTAATTCATTTTCTTTTTAAATAAGTGTAGCATTCTTGAGATTAAAGTTGTTGATGTTAATTCTGTTCCTTACAATATATAAGAGAAATGTGCGAAAAAAAAAGTATTTATCAACACGAAAACATAACAGTTTATCCAGTGCATTAGTTACACAGTTCAACGACAAATTCTATCTCAAGGAAAGGAGGAAGAAATAAAAAAACGGGAAATAAGATTGGCAGCCACAATCTTAACATAAGATACGCAGATGACACAGTACTGATAGCAGACACGGAAAAGCAATTACAAAATCTCCTACAGAAGGTAGCGACAGAGAGTGAGAAGAAGGGACTAAGCATAAACTACAAGAAGACGGAGTGCAAGGCCGTCATTAAGAGAATGAGCGCGAAATGCGATCTGAAGGTCGGGAACACTAAAATCAAGCAGACACAGAAGTTTAAATACCTGGGAAGCGTCTTGACAGAGGACGGTAAGTGCGACACTGAGATCCGTACACGTATTGGGATGGCTAAGGACACATTTCAAAAGCTGGGCAGAGTACTGCGAGACAGGAGGCTATATTTGGTAATACTGAACTGTTACCTCACATCCGCCCTTCTTTACCGCAGCGAATGTTGGACGATTTCTTCAAAGATGAAGAAGAGACTCGATGCGACAGAGATGTGATTCTACAGAAAGATGCTAAGGATATCATGGACCGAGCGTGTAAGCAACGATGAGATCTTAGGTTGCAAATAAGGAAGAGGCTTATGTTTAACACCAGGAAGAGGTTGCTGAAGTTTCTGGTACACATAATGAGAAAGGAGGGCCTGGAGAATCTGATACTCACGAGTCGAATAGAGGGAAAGAGAGACAAGGGAAAACAACGCGTGACATACCTGGGGTGGGGCTTAAGCAAGTTGATGATAGAATTTGGTCTGTGGGGAGGAAGCAGAGAGAAGAAGCTTGATGAGAGCTGCAAGGTATAGAAGGAGGTGGAGAGCCATGATCTCCCACGTCCTGAAAGGACATAGCACATAAAAAGAAGTTGCCTTCGCCTCCTTTCAGGATGATGATAGTGTAGATATTTCGACGCGCGAAAATTAAAATTGTCTTTTATTATCTTAGGGGAAATTCCTTATGATGAGATGTATAACAAGAGAATTTTCGTATCGTTTTTGCTGCTAGCTAGCCAAATTCTTATATACAGATAATTTTTTAGAGCTGTATCAATCGGTTAAATTAAAAAAATATTTAGAATAGGAGAAACTCTGAGTTTGAACATCCGCTGCTTTGCGAACATAGCCAATCATAGGAAAGGCTTAGGGAGTAAAACTTGAAGATAAACCAAGACTTGGAGACCCTAAGACATTCAAATCTTATGTTCAACTCCATTCTGGCAACTCCTATGATGACTCTGGTGCCAAACTGTATTAGACTCTACTTTTCTCTTCGAACAAATCGGTGACGTGGGCAGGGAAGACGTGCTGCATATCCAACCGTCGATCTCTTATAAATCCCTGCCCAGGCCTGAGCCCTGGGGAGGACATTCCGGCATCGACTCACCATGATGCCAAATCACGGGAGACAACAGTCTACTGATGGGAGGATTTCGCAGGTTCTTCTGTATAGGGAACTGGCCACTGGCAAGAGTGCACGAGGGTGAACTCATCTTAGCTTCAAAGACATCAAAGGGGAGAAGCGTGCTCGACGGAAAGAAAACAACACCGTGACATTGGGTAGAGCGTTTTCACATGCATTCGTTACACTTGAGGCTGTCACTCCCGTATGGGCCTGTACAGCAGTGACAGATGCTGCGCCTCAGTCAGCCGCTGAGGCAAAACTCTTTGGGCATAGATCTATGCTGTCGACGAGACCGACGCATTGTTAATGTCGTGAAAAACTTTGTGCAGTTAAATATTAGTTTATTGCTTGTCTAAAAAGAAACTGCTTTGAGTCTGTTGTAGTTATTTTCATAATTGATATCTTATTATGGATTGTTAAAATAATTTTTTTCTAATCCTGATAAAATTAAATATATATATATATATATATATATATATATATATATATATATATATAAATAGTAAATATTTTACTTTTTTTTTCTTCTTTAGGTTTAATTTTATTTTCTCAATTGTTATCACTATGAAAATAAGAAACACGCACACACACACACACACACACACACACACACACAAATATATATATATATATATAATAAATGGGAATGTCAAAAATGATTGTCGAATCCAGCGAAAGTCAGATATAAAATAAAAATAATTTTTTGTACAGAAAGTAAGGACCTATGTATATCAAATTACCTTTAAATTAAGTTGTAACAGAAGATTTATCGTTGAACTTTTAAAAGGTAAGCTTAAATATTAATGCAATACTTAAATGCAGCAATCACTTTTGAGTTTTTCTGTAGTTTATTGTTGCTGATCGCATACAACAGCAGTATGCCTTGCAAAAAAGAAATCTCCGCTTACAGGGGACCAGATTGCAAATCAAACGAGCCATGGCTGCAGCGAGAAAAAGAAAGTCCCGTGCATATTATTATAATGTGTCAACCCTAAAAATGCCCACACCCCAAGAAAAGTCGTTTTGTGTCCTGCAATTTGCGAAGTGTAACCTTAAAATAACAAACTTTGAACTTTTTATTATCCAGTAATGTGCTGAATGTGCTTCTGTCTGTCAGTTTTTGTTTTTATTAAATTTTCGAAATCTGCAATTTCTTTTTTCATAATTCTGTCAATCTATCCTGTCTCTCTCTCTCTCTCTCTCTGCATATATATATATATATATATATATATATATATATATATATATATATATATATATATATATATATATAAAAATTGTGTATTTCAGCAGCAATCCCTCTTTTATACAAGTTCAAGTAAAAACGACTGAGAAGGTACTGCGTTTAAGTTTTTTTATTTATTTTTTTCTTGTGTTCTTATAATTTCTTTCATTTCTGGACATAAATTATGTAGAAAATGTCTGAACGCTGAGTATCTCCGAGCTGAATGTATGGATTTCTTATGTATCTAGAGTTATAGGAATTTTTTAGTAAAATTAATTTACACCCAGAAAAACGAAAATTATCAGAACACAAGGAAATTTAAATAAACATACTTTGTCAGTCGTTTGTAATGAAAAATATTTGTATATATATTTTGGAGGAAAATTGTGATTCCCAATATATGACGATATTTATTCTGTCTAATTTTTAGCGATTCAGCAACTCCTGGACTAACTGAAGAGGGGGCATATACCCCTAATTCCGAAGTGTTTTCTTTTTCAATGGACCAATTTGCCCAGCCCGATCTCCCCCCCCCCCTCGGGAGGTGTTGCGACACAGCTACAGTAGATAGATACAATATTTATCTTCATATGCCATAATTGCTATATTTCACTGATATTTCTAAAAGTTTTCAACGTTTCAGTTTCCATTTCTGGTTTTCTTGATTGATAACATTTATAGTCAAGAGATATTTTTATTAGTTATTTCTGCAAAGACAAGATCCACTTGTAATTCAAAGTGCTTACTGAAATATTTACTTTTCCTCCTCACTCATATCTTGCTTTCTACCTTGCAATTTATTATTATCATTATTACTTTTAGTACCCTCATTGTTTTTATTGTTATGTAACTGTGTGCAATTGAAAGGTTTTCTAATTCAAATCTGTGATTTTCATATATGAATTTACCTATATATATTTTCTTTTCTTGCTGCTGGTTTCAGCTTTTTGTTTCAGTGCACCTGAGAGTCTGGAGGCGAAACCAATTAACAACGGACTATTGCTCATGGTTGTCTAGACACACAAAAGCCATCGCGCCCATATTGAAGATTGGCTGGTCCTTAGCAAATTGATTAAACTTCTACTTTAAACAATAACTGATTAATTTTAACTGAAGATTTCTTCTTTCCCTTTCACTTCGTATTGTCGCAAATGATAATGGATATGCAGATAATTCTGGCTTTGTATAATCATCTTCTGTGCGGATCCAAACACTCGAACCTGTACAGAACCAAACAATCGAACTTGTACTGAACAAAACACTTGAACCTTTACAGAACCAAACGATCGAACGTGTACATAACTAAAAAATGAATCCGTACACAACGAAATAATCGAACCTGTACAGAACCAAAAATTGAATCTGTACACAACGAAACACTCGAACCTGTACATAACTAAAAATTGAATCTGTACACAACGAAATAATCGAACCTGTACATAACTAAAAATTGAATCTGTACACAACGAAATAATCGAACCTGTACAGAACTAAAAATTGAATCTGTACACAACGAAACACTCGAACCTGTACAGAAATAAAAAAAATGAATCTGTACATAACAAAATAATCGAACCTCTACACAAGAAAAAAATCGAACCTATACGAAACCAGACAATTGAACCTGTACAGAACCAAACAATCGATTGTGTACTGAAGAAAACAATCGAACGTGTACACAACGAAACCATCGAACGTGTACGGAACCAAAATGTCGAACTTGGTTCTCGTAGAAGTTCCAGTATACGCTTCTTTTTATTTGACCAAATTTTGATAAAGGCATCGTATTCATTTTTTTAAACTTATCTTTCTATCAATTCATGAAAAAATTCTGTAATATTACTGCGAACCAATAGTCTGCTTTTTCTTACAATAATGTTCACCCTGTACAAATCCTAAAAGCCACTCGAAGCAGAGCGTTTACGGGTAAGAGGTCAGGGTTACAGTTTATGAGGATATGTGAAGATGATGTCGGTTAATCATAGAATTGAACAGCTTGAGTCTAATGATCAGGGAAGTATCCCCTTGGGAATCGGTTCGTGGGAAGAAGCTGTTCGTGTGGAACTTACAACCTTGTTGCAGAATGTTTAAAATTTGATGAATACATTGTATTGACATTTATTATTTATGTTTCTTTCAATATTTATGTTTATATATATATATATATATATATATATATATATATATATATATATAATGATAAATCACAGAAACACCTTAAATAAAGCATATCGCTTATAATTTATTCCATGATATTCGCTTCAGTATACCGACTCCAGAGTTTCGTAGATGGACTCTCCAGCAATTCGTAGATTGTTCGTTTGTTTATTTACTTAATTTATTTACTTATTTATTTGGATTAATTTATTATATTTACTAATTTATTTTTTATTTATTTATTTTCATTTTATTTCATTTTTTTTTTTTTGTTCATTTTTTGTTTTCGATTTTTTTCGAGATGCATTCTAATCGTTTATTTAGTACATTGTGTTGGTCTTGGAAGTTAATTATAGCTCTTTTCTTCTCCAGGCAGTGTTTACAGTTTTTGGATTTATTGTTGTAGTCTTATGCTCTTTTCTTATTTTCCATGAAATTTCTGGTGTGAATTGTTTTTTGTTGTTTTTCATTACCCATAACATGTTTAAAAAACATTGTGCCGTTTCCGTATATACTATTTGTAAAGGATGTTTTGTGTGCGTACTTTCTTTGTTTCTAGGGTCTTTCAGTTACTCCTCTGTATATTTTTCTTCGTTGTTGACTTCCGATATATATATATATATATATATATATATATATATATATATATATATATATATATACTCGACTCTCCTGTAGAATTCGACGTATGACGGTCAAGCAGATCGGTTTCTAGGCAACCGACAGCCCGACATCAGCACATGAGATTTGATTATAGTGGTGAAGGTTCCGTGCAGGACCATCCACACTTTTGAAGGGCCGAATACAGAGACATGGTGCACTACGTGCCACGGGGTCCCCAAACGACCCTCCGCAGGTTTGGAATTCAGAGTTGTCCGTGTCCTAGACCAGTTGCTATCCAAGGCTATAGAACCCAATCTGTCCTGCTATTTACACATAGCTGGAGGGAGAAAAAGAGAATTTACATCTTTCCCAATATATATATATATATATATATATATATATATATGTTGCGAAAACCCATTCAGAAATATATAAACTGTCAATTGTCTACATCACTTTTCTCAGATCAATGGTTAAAATTGGCTTTGAGCGTGTGAAGCCTGGCGGTCTTAGTGAAAACCACACTTCTTCGAACCTGATGTACTGGCGCTGCACAATCACAAAGAACTAACCAGATAATAGAAACCGAATGACTTGAGGTCTGCGAACAGCAGCAATGACTAAAATGGATATCACATATAACGCGAAAAGAAAATAATGATATATGTTGATATTCCACACTACTTCAAATAAAAGGTTAGGAAGTAAACTCCATAAATATCAGTTACTGGACTTGATAAACCTAATTGTTTTAAGAGAAAGATTTTATTAATTTCAATAGTAGTACTGGATGCTCGGTCAATGTATGTCTTGTAAGGAAATCTCTAAGAATATTGAGCTCACCTCAAAAACCGAGTAATGCCTCTCAGAGGTAGGCTTCTAAGTGAGGAATTTCATGACCTCAAAACTCACCAACTGGCTGCCATGACTGAATCACCCTGTGCATTCCTCCCTCAGTAAACAAGATGTAACGCTATTCAGTATGTATGCACCAACTCTTCAAGTGAAATTCGAATTATGAAGCCTGCTGTCGACAATTCCGGCATCAGATTAAATCATTTGAGATTTTAATGCAAGAATAGGTTTTGACGCCGACTCATAGAGAGGTGTACGAGGAAAACACGGTACGCAGGTAAATAGAACAGCGATGGTTACTTCTTTCTCTGTGCATCACAAACCCAATACACGATATTTTAGGAAAAAGAGGAACTCTTTTTTTCATCCTCTCTTTATTCGCCATTCTTTTTCATAGTTTCATGATCTTTTTACATAGCTGGCTCAACATAGGGTAATGGTTAACGAAACTAGTCTGGTTGATCATTGCTACTAAGTAGTGTGTCCGATCCTCACTGGGTATCTTATACAAGATTAAATATTAAGTTAACCAATAATTTTGTCATCTTGCAAATCAACAAAACTAGCTCTCCTTTTTCTCTTACTTTCTTCTTCTTTCTGTATCACCCCTTTTTCTGATACTGTCTCCTTTTTTACTTCCTTCCTACATTTCCTTCTTGTTCTTTGTCACTTTCCTTCCTCTTTCTTTCTTTCTTTCTTTCTTTCTTTCTTTCTTTCTTATTTTCGCCATTTTCTTATATTCTTATTTCTGTATCACTCCTTTTTCTGAGACTTTTTCCGTTTTTCCTTCCTTCCTTTCTACATTTCCTTCTTGTTCTTTTTTCACTTTCCTTACTCTTTCTTTCATTCTTTCTTTCATTCTTTCTTTCATTCTTTCTTTCTTTCTTTCTTTCGTTTTACTATCTAATTTTGTTTTCTTTTTTCTATGTTTTCATTTCTTATTTTCATTTTTTCTTTATTTCGTTTCTTTTCTTTCTTTCTTTCTTTCTTTCTTTCTTTCTTTCTTTCTATCCTTCTTTCTTTCTTTCTTTCTTTCTTTCTTTCAGTATTTCTTTCTATTCTCATTTGCCTATTACCTCATCTAAAACCAACACCACAGCCATTATCCTTAATGATATTATTGATCATTTCTCACATTTTATATTTAATATTTCTCTTTTTGTTTGCATGTTATTGTCGACGCCATAATGATTATCTTCATCTTTTTCTTCTTCCTAGTTGTCTTCCTCGTCGTCCTCATCACTTTCATTCTCCTCTTCACATCTACCACTGCCTCCTCTTTCTCTCCTCCTCGCTATGCTAAACATAATATTTGGCCTTTCATATTACTTCTTCCCCCTCCTTCTTCCCTAATTAACATTTTTCCCCACCGGCAATTATCCTCCTTCCTGATTCGCCTTACCCCCGGCATGATATGTATCGTCGTTATTAATTGTATCGAGTATAAGTCGTCGTGTGTTATATTCCATCAGTCGCCTTCAAAATGGTTCTTAATTAGCAAACAGAAAACAATGAATAAACCCGGATTATTAAGATGGCCCACCTGCTGTTTTGTCACATATCAATTAATCAAGATAGTTAATCGACGAAATAGAGTTCCTTGTGGATAATGACGTCCGATTAGATTCATTAAATGAACACAAAGTTTTCTTTTCCGTATATTTTGGCCTCATGTTTTATTCAAACAAGTCCATGATACGATTATTCATACAAGTCCATGGTACGATTATTCAAACAAGTCCATGGTACGATTATTCAAACAAGTCCATGGTACGATTATTCAAACAAGTCCATGGTACGATTATTCAAACAAGTCCATGGTACGATTATTCAAACAAGATTATTCAAACAAGTCCATGGTACGATTATTCCATGATACGACAAACAAGTCCATGGTACGATTATTCAAACAAACAAGTCCATGGTACGATTATTCATACAAGTCCATGATACGATTATTCAGTCCATGGTGCGATTATTCA